TTGTTGCAGGTAAGTCTGCTTCGTAATGGTCCTAAGGTTTGGAATGAAATAACTCCAAATGACATTAAAAATATTTCTAATTTATTACTTTTCAAAAAGCGCTTGAAGATTTTTATGTTGAATCAGCATCCTGTGTAATGACTTGTTTTTTATTTTTCTGATTGTCAATGGCGTCTGTTTTGTATATTATGTTTAAATTGTACAATAGCATTCCATCTACTTTGAATATTTTATATCTGTGGGGACATTCATGTTTTATTTTCAAATTTGTGAATTTTAGTTCATGCAGAAATTTCATTTTGTCACCTCATATTTTACATTTTATTTTAGGTTGGCAGTACTTGTTGAGCTAGTCATAGCTCGTTACGGTCCCCCGCTTGTTTGGCAAATAAACAAATAATAATAATAATATTTAAAATTGTGTATACGATTGTGTTTAGGCTGTTTTTGTGTGTATGTGTGGTTGTTTGTTTTTATGTATGTTTTCTTCAACCAATCAATCAACCAGCCAACTAACCAAACACTCAATCAATTAATGAACCAACCTAACCATCAACCAACCAACCAACCAAACAATCGACAGATAGATTTAAAATGCATGGAATTTGTTATTTCACAGGCAAGGCTCCCGCTTAAAGTTTATCTAAAATGAAATTTGAAAAATTAAAAATCGTTCTAAATAGAATTTCTCCATAAATTTGATTAATTCAACGTTACTACATTTGAGACAATAGTTGACACAATCATTAACAACACATTTCAAAATAAAATAAATTTAATTAAATTATATAAAATACGCAAAACAACATGTATTTAATATTGGTAATTCAACCTAAATCCGTCATTTGATGAATTTTTGGGTAATTTTATTGATCATTTGTGGCTTAACTAAGCATTTATAAGACCTTTTCAGCCATCACTATGTACATATTTAAATTCACTTTTAACCGGTTTCAGAAAAAATATTTCGAAATAAATTGGATAGAAAGATGTCGGCCTCGAAATATCGTCAGGAGATGCCCCCACCTGGCGGGTATGGCATGGTCGATTGGGCGAAAAAGATTCCCAGAAAAGGAATGGGTGGTTTGTAATTGGGAATAGTTAAATTTATTTTTTTTTTTCTAATTTAATCAAGGTCATCTGCATCTGTGCTGTGAATTATTAAACTTATAATAAAAAAATAATTTGTAAAGTTAAAAATAATTATTATTATAAATTATTATTTGTAATTATTTGATTGATTGATTTATTGATAAACTAAACACATATGCAACCATTTAATACCAAGCATAAAGTATAAAATAAAGGCCATTATTAATTATAAATTATAATTTATAAATAATATGTTATTTATTCACAAAGGGTATGCCATATTTGGGGCCTTTTTTGCTGTCACCACAGCAGGCTGGGTTGGGTACTACTTTGAGAGGAAGATCAAAAAGTATAATTATATATAATAAAATAATTATTATATTCGTAATAAATAATAATAATTATATTATCATATAATAATTTCATTCCTTTTACAAATTTTCTTAGTGGTTTTAACAACAAAACATGCAGTGCGCATAAATACAAGCGAATCAACATATTATTATTACTCCATACATTGTATGTGATAGGTAAGGATCACAGTGCTTTCAAACCCAGTTACTGCATGTGTAGAGCCAGGCATCTTAACCAGTTTGACCACTTCTCCTTCCTTAGATATAAATAAACTATCTAACTATAAGCTGTTTAGTATTTGAATAGTGTAAGATTTACCCTGTCTTCTATTAGGTACTTCTACCTGTGTTATATTATATCTATTAATTCTTCTATTTAATAAATAATTAAGAATAATTTATTTTAAATTAAATAAATAAATATTCTATTCAATAAATAAATAATTATGAGTAATTTATTTTAAATTTAAATTATTTTGATCGAAGTAAACAGAGGCTAGAAATGAACGATGCCAGACTGGCTGTAGCGCCGCTATTTGTTGCTGAAGAGCAAAGAATGTTTGACATTTATTAATTTATTTATCTATCTATTTATTATTTTCTGTTGTTATTATTAATTATTATTATTATTACTGTATTGTTTTTATAAACCTGCAAATGATGTTTAATGTTGTGTATATAAACACACACACACACACACACACACACACACACACACACACAGTTAAACCTTTTCACACACACACACACACGTACACTTAAACACACACTTAAACCTTTTCACACACACACACACACACACGTAAACACACCAACACACACACACAGGTACCTAAAACGTCTGCGAGAGAATAGGGACGAGGAGAATGAACTGATGAAAGACGTGCCGGGCTGGGAGACTGGAAAGTTCGAAGGTCAGCCGGTCTACCACAGCAGTCACGAGAGGTTCCCCTACGTGGATATGAAGGAGTATTATGCCCACTCAAAATATAGTGACATGTTTGATAGGGTCTACTTCATGAGGAAGTTGTGATAGTAATGATGGTGGTGATGGTGCTGATGATCATGATTGTGGTGGTGATGATTGTGATGGTGATTATTGTGGTGGTGATGATTGTGATGGTGATGATTGTGATGGTGATGATAGTGATGGTTTGGTGAGAATGATGATGATTGTGAGGGTGATGATAGTGATGGTTTGGTGAGAATGATGATGATTGGGAGGGTGATGATAGTGATGGTTTGGTGAGAATGATGATTGTGATAATGATGGGTGTGATGATGACGACGACGATGATGATGATGATGGTAATTTCGATGGGACAATGTTCGTGAAGTTGGTGGTGGTGGCGATGATGATGATGACGCTTAGAGTTATTGTAGAATCAATGTATTATCTTTTGTAATAAATAACAATAATAATAAATAATAATAGTTTTAATTAAAATAAAAATCTTACGTGTCTTACACGTAATTAATGATGATAAGACTGTCAATTAGTTAATTTATTAATTAGTTAATTAATTTACTAGCCATGTTCTTATCTGTTCTTTATTTTCTATGTACACCAATTCGTAATGCAAACTCGTTTGTGTATTTGCGTGTGCACGTGCGCGCGTGTGTGAGTTTTTGGTTTGTATGTTTGTTTGTTGGTTTGTATGTTTGTTTGTATGTATGTAATATATGTTTGTATATGTATGTATGTATGTATCTCTCTTTCTCTCTCTTTTCCCTTTCTTTCTCTATTTCTCTTTCTTTTCTTTCATCTTTCCATCTCAATCAAGTCAGTTCGCATCAATATCTATGTATGTATGTATGTATGTATGTATGTATGTATGTATGTATGTATGTATGTATGTATGTATGTATGTATGTATGTATGTATGTAATGTATGTATGTATGTAATGTATGTATGTATGTATGTATGTATGTATGTTTGTCTGTGTATGCATGCATATATGAATGTGTGTGTGTATGAATGTAATTCTGTATGGATGTGTATGTGTGTTTGTATAATTGTGTACATATTATTGTATGCAGTAATTTATGAAATCTGTCGAATTTCTAGCGTTAGATTGTTTTCCGTTAACATTCCTCAATATTCCTAGCCAAAGTCTTATCATTATTATTGATTTCATTAAAGTTGGGATAATTTTCCAACTCGTTCTCGATTTCTATTTTAATTTAACTCGAGAATAAATTGGAAATCTTTACATTATTCTAACTTTAATGAAATAAATAACGACGAAAAGACTTAGGTTAGGAATATTGACAAATTTAACAGAAAAATATCCGACACTAACGATTCGGTAGATTTCATCAATTAGGTCTTTATAAATTATGGTCTTTTACCGGCATATTAATCTATGCCATTATTCTAAAGATAATTAATCTATGTATACAAAGTACGTTCGTGTGTGTGCGTGTGTGTGTGTGTGTGTGTAGAGACGCACCGAATGTTCTGCCAAAATTTGTCATGGCTACGTTCATTTTTAATGGTTGAGTAGTGCAATTTTCGTTCAAGTCAACAATTTTTTTGGATTTCAGAGCAATAATTGTTTATTATTATTAAAGGGAAATTAATCTTGGTCATCGTAGTGGTTGAAACAGCTGATCTTGAGGTAGAAATTAAATATTATTTCGGTAAAAATTTGGCTGAAAATGAATAATTCTCACAGTTGCTTCATTTTCGTTCTAAAAATTAAAATTTTGAGTTTCTTAGTATTCGCCTGCGGTTGATTTGTAGATCAATTATAATATCCTCTGGGCTCTCTGAAGTTATTGAAGTTGATTACTACTATGACTAAACATAGGATTCATGTCTAGATTGTAATGTATGTGTTTGTGTGTGTGAACGTACGTGTGGATGTTTTTGTGTAGTGATGATATAGTAATGATAATTTTATTTATCCTATACCGCGTACAACCGACGTTCATCTGAACATTGAATTGTGAATTTTTTTAAGAATGTGCGTATCTCGCGAATCGAACTTTCAACTGCTAATTACATCAATCTATCAATCAGCCATTCAGATACCATCAATCTATCGGTGAATTAATATTTTTAAGTTCACATCGATCAACCAATGACACCAATCGGTCGATCAATCAACCATTCCTATCAACCTGATTTCGTGAAGTTCGGTCGAACTTTCAGCCTACATTTTGGTGAAATATTAAAATATGCATCAATCAATCGATTCATCAATCAGTCAATCAATTAGTCGATCGGATTTCTCAAATCACATCAATCAATCAGTTGTATCAAATTTTGCCTATTTCGAAACGAACTTTTAAGACATTTAATCAGTCATTGAAATTTCACAATCACATGAGTCGATCGATCAGTAAATAGATCAACCAATCAATCTATCAATCGGTCTATCAATCACTCCAGTCAATCAATCAGTCAATCAACCAAGTAAATCAATCAAGCAAACAATTCAGCCAATCAAATTTCGATGATCATAAATTAATCATAAATTTTACGACGACTTTGATGATTTTACAACCACTGCCGCATTTTAATTGGGTCATGATCTGAATAATTATGCCAGGTCAACTCGCGGACAGCCAACCGGAATCGACCTTGATTGTTAAAAGGTAACATGAAGTAAATGGTCCTTGTTTGGCGATAGCATAAAGGCAAAGCTGATGATGAACATTTCGCTTCTCGTGTTATCTAATTCTCTATATCTAAGTCTTCTTATTTCGTCTGCTAGTCATCGATTTCTGTAAAGGAGATTTCTTATCATTCGGCTTAATTATTTATAAAGAAGATTTGTTTAATTATCCCGAACTGAAGAAGATATATCTCTGAATTCTGGTACATACTGATCAGGAATCTTTCGGTATGTTCGTTTTCTATTTCATTTTTCGAATTGCATTTAGTGTTCAGTGCTCTGGTTTATAGTATTAGTGTATGTTATTTTTATTTGCACATTTTTACGGATATTAAAGCGTAAAGGGTGATAGGTTAGTTCAACATTTTATTGCAGGGCATTTTAATTTAAGAATGCAGCGCTTAAGCATTAAAAATGAGAGCCATGTTGTGTTTTTTATGTAACAACATTTGTAATTAGCTGATTAAAAAGTACATCTTTAGTAGGATTTTTCTGATTGGTTGAAAATGTAAGCTTAGCAAATTTTACTGTGTAAGATGTATATATATATATATGATGTATTATAACCGGTGTCTTGCAAAAAACACTTGGCTTTAATTTATTTTATATCATTTTTTTATAAAATTTGTTTTTATTTCGTTAAGAGTGAACAAGCGAATATGATTTAAAAAGGTGATTTATAATTTATGGGGTTGAATTCTCCATTTGCAATGTGCATTTCCCAGTTTTATAAATCAAAAATAAATGGTGATTCTCTTTTTGCCTTTATTTTTGGAAGGAAAAACAAATGATGGCGCACATTAATAAATAATTGTTACAATGAGCATTTGAAATAGTTTAAAATGATAGTTTCTGATGATTTGTTTGCTTAACTCACGTCCGCAGGTACGCCACCACTACTACAGTGTCGACCACGACCACACTTGTGTCGCTTGCTTCAGCAGCAGGAACAACAACAACAACAACACTAATCAAATCAATCCGTCATCAGTCAGTCAATCTGTCACTAACTTCACTATCTCAGCAATAGCATCATCAAATAAAAAGAAAAACAGCAACAGTGCAGTGCAGTAAGTTTGATATCTTAGTGTTAAATTTATTTATTCTTTAATAATTTAATAATAGTTTAATTTTAATTGATTTATTCTTATTTTTAAATCAAATGCATAAATTAAATAAAACTCGATTATTAACTTTTATCTGAGAGATTAACTTTTTTAATTTAGCTACAAGGAAGGAAAGAAGCTGCCTTCACAAGCTCTTATTTATAATTGCCAGTGAAGAAGTAAAATTATAAAATACCAAAGAAATATGGACCCGGTTAGTTTTTTAATCACATAGTTATAATTCTTTATTCATTATATAATGTTAATATTATAAAATTATATTATTCAAATTATTCACTCTGAATATCTTTTACAGAGTGTAGCCGTCAGCGTTTCATATTCGCAGAGCGACTCATCGTCTTCTTCTCATAACAACTTAATGTACACACCAGCATCTCAGTCTAATTCTAATCCTTCGAATTCTTCCAAACCAAAACCTGGAATTTTGGTATCTCAGCACAAAGGGATGACACTGTATACACAACTGAATCCGCCTGCTGCGGACTTTGATGATCAGCGCGTATATGGTAAAAATTTATATTTGAAATTCAAGCTAAACAAGAGCTTATTTGATACATATTTGATTTACAAATACTTTGACGACCAGCGACTCTACGGTTAGTTTTGTTTTAATTTAGGATCATCTGGTCATTTTTACAGTTTTTTTATTTTTGATCATCTGGTCATTTTTACAGTTTTTTTTATTTTTGATCATCTGGTCATTTTTACAGATTGCTTCTAATTTTATACTTGTATTATTGCTACTATTTTTATTAATTATAATTTATAAATTATGATAAAAATATGCGAAAGTGGAATAATTATTTATTAATGGACGATCCCTTAGATGACTCTCTGGCTCCTCCGTTAACGTGTCCCAACCTGAAGGATTTCATAGATTACTACCAGTTGACTTCGTATACGTTGGAGAATGCATTGCAACAAGTCGAGTACTACTTCTCGCCGTAAGTATTTGCTGCTGTTGTCGTTGTTTGTCCTCTCACTTCATTCTGTTTATATATTCCATTTTTATGGTTCATACCAACATGTACTGACTGACTGATTAACTAAATGTCTGTTCAATTTTCCAAATCAGACCAAATCTGGTGAAAGACAAGTTCATGCTCCAGTCTAAGGATAGCGACGACTTCATCGACATCGGATTCGTCAGCAACTTCGGCAAGATGAAGTTCATCCTAAGAGACATGAGTGAAAACCAGCGACGAAGGATAGTGACTCTGATGCTGAGAGGTTTGTTAATTCACTTTTATTATATCTATTCATTAATACTTGCTTCCATCTACATTTATATCATAACTTCATAACTTGCACTACTGCTGGCCACCATACAATTGGGTCATCATCTTTTGGTTATTCTCATTTTTAGACAATAATTACAAACTATCATTTTGTATGGTTTTGTCGGATCGTACTGGCTAACTTTTTAATATTATTAAATTATTTAAAGCCATTTTGTATTTTATTTTGTACACACACACATGCACACACAAATGCATAGACATGTGAATACAAACCAATGTATATACTTGCAGATTCACCCATGGTCGAGCTCAATGCCACAGAGACGAGAATGAGGAGCATTCCGTTGAGCGCAATGATTAGAAATGTTCTCGTCTTCCGAAACATCCATCCATCTTGCACAGCGGACGACATCAAGAATCTTGTTAATAGTGAGGCTACTGGGAGAGGGTGCAACTGCTTCCCGGCCGACCCGCTCTATCTCCCACCGCTCTCTTCATTCGCACAGGACTTGTACCAGGACACCAACCAGTGGCTGGTCCAGTTTGAATCAGAAGAGGCTGCAACGAGTATTTATCAAATAGTTACTAAGGGGATTTCACTACTGGACAACCAGGTCTTTGTTAGGGTGCTCCTTCAATCCTCCACAGCCTACAACAATCTGCTCTTACCTGCGCCTGGAATGAGGCTATCAGATTTTAACCCAGCCTCCTCCGAGCAGTACATGATAAACTATATTTCGCCAAATCAGATCATCTACCAGCAGCCATCCCTGCCACCTCATCAGCCTCAGCAGCTGCTCCAATTTCCAAATTCTTTAGGAAGTCTACAGCAGCAACAGTCTGGCCTGCAGATGGCCCCACAACAGGCGCCACTACTGCCAACGACGACGTCTAATTATGACGCAACTCTAACGCACGTCATAAATCAGCAGCAACTCCAACACCCTCCACCCCCGACTCCCCAACGGCAATATTTATACCCGGCCGCGCTGCACACTGCATCCATACCTGTTCAAGGAATTCCACCCAACAGCCAGTTTAGGCAGCAACCACAACAGACACCACAGCAACAACAGCATCACCAGCCGCAACCACAAACGCAGTTGCAGCCCAAGATCTATCAGCAGTTTCCGACCCAAGGAGGCATCATCTATCAACACCCGGTTTGTCTTTACATATACTAATTGTATTGTGTTGTATTATGTACTGAATTATACTGTATCCTTTCATTGTATTGGTAGAAATATTTAACTTTATAAAATCTTTATTTTTAGAATCTGACTCTACTGCCACAGGCGACTCCGTTCGTATGCCCTCAGCTGTTCTTCGACCCAACAGGAGGAGGAGTTAGTTTTGAATTTTTAAATTAGAATTTATTTTTTTGATTGTTGAATGAATAAACAATGAATGAATAAAAAATACATATAAATATTCATGAATGAACGAAAAAATGAATAATTTAATAATTTATTCTTGCAGTATGTGCCGGTTCAATTCCCGCCGCAGCAGTTAGTGACGTTGGGGTTCAACAACAGGCTCAGGGGTCCGATTGTTGTCAACCCCAGCCCTAACCCACCTATGGTCATCCCGCAACAGCCTCCTCCTGCCCCACCACAACAACAACAACAGCCACCTACTCAGCAGCAGCAGCAGCAACAACCGCAACAGACGCAACAGCTGCAACAACCGCCACAACAAATAGTACAACACCAAGTGATTGCCACGTCGACGACAGCCACTACTTTTTCGCCAGCTGCTGCTAACAGCGGCAACAACAACAGCAGCTACATGCAGCACCAACATCAACAACAAATGCTGCACCAACATATGATGCATATGTCAACGGCCATCAACAACAACAACAGCAGTAACATAGGTTTGCAACAGCAACAACCTCATCAGCATGCTGGATATGGCGTTGCGAGCGTCGGCCAGAACAGCAGCAGCAACAACAAACAAAGGATATACAATGGAAAGAATCCAAAATATCAAAATAAAAACCAGTTGCAACAACAGCAACAACAACAACAGCTGCAACAACAACAGCAGCAACAACAACAACAGCACATAAATCAAAACATTCATCTGTTCTTACAGCAACATCAGCAACAATCCCAACAACAGCAGCAGCAACAACAACAACCACACATACCTCTTCCACAACCACCTCCCCAGCAGCTGCAACAACAACAACAACAACACTATCATCAGCTACAACAACCACAACAGCAACAGCCAACCACAACAGCTGCAACTACCCAATCCAGCAGCGTTAAATCAGAACTCCTATCTCTGAGAACTGTGACTACGCCTGACGACTCTGCAGCGCCATCTGCAAACAACAGCGCGCCATCTTTTGTCAGGCAACTGAATAAACTGAATCTTGAGGGCTCTGGCAATAGTAGCAGCAGTCTGGCCAGCCACAATCCTCCCAGCAACAACAACAACAACAACATCAGCAGTGTTAGTAGTAGCAGTAACACCACGGATATCAACGTTAATCACGCTATTACCAAATGGCATCATCAGCAGCAACAACATCAGCAGCAGCCTGTGCAGCAGCAGCACCAGCCACAACACCATCAACCACAAGAAATCACCTTTCACCAGCAGCAGCAACCACAGCAGCCACAGCCAGCTCAACACCACCACCATCAGCAACAACACTACGGCAGTAAAAACAGCTACCAGGCCCATGATCAACTCAACTTTCACCACAACGCGTATCAGGGCTACCATGGCAACAATGGCAACAACTACCATGGCAACAGCACTTTTCATTTGCAACAGCAGCAACAGCAGCACCACGGCCATTATGGACAGTCGTCTGTCCAGACCAACTGGCGTGGCTCGAGGGACTATAATGGTAGATTTGGGACGGGTGGTAACGTAGGAGGACGTGCTCGACGGGGCGGCAAATTCGACGACCCCTATAGGAATCGCAACAACAACAACAACAGTAACAACAGCAGGATTCCTCAACAGCAGCAACAACATCAACAGCAACAGCATGTTGCGTCGAATGCTGCTAGTCAGCAAGCTACTCAGCAGCTGCAACAGCCACCGTCTCCTAGCAACAGCGAACTGGACAACTCAAACTTTCCTCCTTTGACGTGCAATGTTAGTGAAAGGTTTCCTGTCTATGAAAGAACATTTGTAAGATTTTAAATTAAACAACACGGATGATTTTCTGACTTAATTTGTTTGCACTCCAGATCCAGGCATCCGGTGCTCCTTCAAGCCAAGTGGAGTCGACTGCTCATCATGTGCATCAGCAGTCGTCACCACCCTCGCCGCCAACTTCATCGACATCTCTGCATCACAATCAGCAGCAGCAGCAGCAGTCACCACCAGGATCATTGGGGCCTTCAGGTCAACACAACATCCCGACATCAACGTTCATGACGTCATCCTCCATGAAGACGACAGCAGCACAACAGTCCGGAAACAAACTAGTTACTCCCCCGAACAAGCAGCAGCAGCATGCATCAACCACAACAGCCGCCATCACAGAGTTGAGTCCTGGAGACCACCCGGAGAGAGCCAAAATGAGTTATGCACAAATCATCAAAGGAAAGGAATCAGCATTGATGATCCCACCAGCCTCTGTCTTAACATCTGACCAGTCCATCCTTGCTGTTGGCAAGAAAGAAGCCTCAATGACGTCACCGACTTCAACAACAAGTAGCAACCAGCAAGCTACTGCAGCTGTTCGCAGCCTGAAAAGCAACGACTCGTCCAGCTGCGAGGACATCACTGAGACAGCTGAACCAGAAGCGAAAGAAGACGAGGCAATGCTGTCACATCATCAGCAAGCAGCAACAGCAACAGCAGCTGGTCCAGCTACTTCAAATGCTGCTCCTTCTACGAATACCTCTTCAGCAACTGCTTCCGCCACAGGCAACTGCATGTCGACATCCTCGTCGTCGTCATCCTCTGGCCCTATGATGCACAGAAACCGACAACAGCATCAGCAACAGCATCAGTCGTTCTCTCGGAAAGGTGGCGCGGGAGGCCACAGTAGCATGAAAAGAGGCGGTGGAAGCGGCGGTGGGAGCGGCGGTGGTGGTGGCAATAGTAGCCGCTACTACTACAACAGCAGCAACTCCAACAAACAGTGCTTTTGAATTTGAAATGTAATCATTGTTGCTGTTATTATCGCGAGAATGATGATGAAATTCTTTGCTCTCCTTGTGGTGATGAGAATTATGAAAAGGACTTTTTAGCGGAGTGCAAGGAGTGCACGGACATGTAATTATGTAATTGAGTGAGTGAGTGAGAGTGAGTGATGTATTATTTTTTACAATGATGATAACATATTCTACCATTAAGCAGTTGTCAGCATTTGTATATCTGTTAGAATAGTGATGTATGATAATGAGAGGATATCATCTGATAGATGGCAGGTCGTATGATGATATCATTTCATAGATGGTATGATGATATCATTTCATAGATTTTATTTAAATCATTTGATGATATCATTTCATAGATGATACGGTGCTAAAGTTGATTAAACTTCTGATATGTTTATGGACAATGGATAATAATATTATATTATAATTACTTTATTATAATAATAATAATAATATTATAATTATATTATTATAATATTATTATTATTACTTGTAATTAGGATCGTTTTGTTTGCTGTTTAATAAAAAAAAAATTTAATGGAGTTTATAGATGAGAAAC